AATGAAAATACTGAAAGAATAAGGGGAACTATCAAATTTAAAAATTAATCCGACAAAAACCGAAATCTTAAATATAAACCTTAAAAATAGTGAAAAGAAAAAATACAAGACAAATTCCCTTTTGTTTGGAGAGATAAAGAATTAAAGTATCTGGGGATAAAACTATCACTGTTCAACTAAGAAGTTTTGGGTATAAAATTAGCTAATCTTTAATTACTTAAAATTTTGGAGGTGCTGAAAACGAGAAATGACCCTGGAAAAAATGTTGATTGGCTCTAGTTTCATGATATATTCACCCATCTAATGACGTAAGCCATGCTAAATTTCAAAATTATGATGCAACTTCAGCTGCATATTGCGCAATTGATACTGGTGACCAATAGAAAATTGCATGTATACTGAGATGATGCAATAGTAGCCTTTAATTGCATCACTTCATGCATAAAAGCTGCAGTATCTTTAGCTGATTGTAGTTCGACAGCGTCTTTAAAATTTTGTTTTATGCTTATATAGGCTACTCAGTAATGCCTCGAACTTGTGTGAATAAAGCAGATAATTTCTGCTATATCTGCGGTGAAATAACTTTTATCTCACAAAAAGGAGGATAACAGGAATGATTAAGAAATTTTTACAACTTGTATTTTGGCTGCAAGATAGGAGACCAGGACAAGAGCTGGGCACCACATATATGCTGCAATTCTTGTGGGACGGCACTGGAGCAATGGTTGAATGGAAAAAAGGCATCTATATGCCTTTCGCTGTGCCAATGATTTGGAGGGAGCCAACAGATCATGTTAGTAATTGTTACTTTTGTATGGTGCCTCCAATTGTAAAAAGGGCTAAATAAGAAGAAAAAGTTATCTGTGCACTATCCAAATATTCCATCGGCAATACGTATTTTCCTCATGGAGAGGGGCTACCAATTCCTAAAGCACCAGAATCCTTCGTGGTTGAGTAAAAGTGAGGAAGAACCTGAAGCGTGTAGGAAAACCGTCAACCTCACATGAGAACCCAGACTTTCTTCCATCCACACCCACTGATGAGTTTCTTTCTCTGTTGCGTGGAAAGGAAAAAAAGGCTGCCTGGACAGCATTTGTATCAGTGACATCAAATTTTCTTGGAAACAATAAAACATCAGACTACAAGAAAGTGGTAGAAAAACTCATCCAGACTTACAGAAATCTGGGTTGCAACATGTCTCTAAAAATTCATTTTCTACATTCGCATCTGGATTTTTTCCCACCAAACTGTGGAGCAGTGAGTGATGAACACGGAGAGCGCTTCCATCAAGACATTGCAGCTATGGAAAGAAGATATCAAGGTAAATGGAGCCCATCAATGCTTGCTGACTATTGCTGGACAGTTGTAAGAGAAAGCCCTTTCCTCGAATACAAGAGAAAAGCCAAGAGAAGCAAAACCGACACAAACTGAAGACAAAACTAGTGAGAATCCTAAGTATTAAAATGATTCAACTTAGCTTATGGCTATAATTTTTCTTGGTAATCCTATGCAATATATTATGCCATTTAGGCTTTGTTATGTAGTCAATATCACTTGCTTTATATTTGTGGAAAGACATCTATCTATATAATTATTGTGCATTATGTAGTCATTACGCCTATAGTAGAAAACTTTCCGTTTACAGAAAAACTAGAGCCAATTGACAAATTTCATTGTTATATTTGAACTCAGAATGTGAAATTCATTAAGAAATGGATCCTTTTGTTTCCAAAACTGGCAAAAAATAAAAAATTTGTTGAACAGTGCTATCAACCTCAACTAAGAACCTGTATAAAGCTAACTATATTTCACTACTAAACGAGCTTAAGGAGGAGCTGAAGAGAGTGGGAGCTGGAAACCCATCTTGGATAGGTTGCATAAACTTGATACAGATGGTAATTGTGCCCAAAGTACTATATAAATTTCAAATGATTCCAATCAAACTTCCAGAGGCGTATTTTAAAGAGCTTAAAAAAATGATAATAAAATATATATGGAGAAATAAAAAGCCTAGAATACGCTATGAAACGCTGACTCAGATCTGTGGGACAGAAAAACTGTATTATATGCATATAGATAAGATGGAGATGTATAATAAAAAATTTAAAAAATTGGAAGAGTATAAAGAAAAAGTGAAATATATGAGGATATAATACCCCTAGAAATGGATTTAGAAATAATAGAAATGTATGGTGTAATGGAGAAGAGAGAAAACGTAGAGTGGGAGAGGGGGGAGAGAGGGGAGAGTGGGAGAGGGAGGGAGGGAGAGGGAGGGAGGGAGAGGGGGGGAGGGAGGGAGAGTGGGAGAGGGAGGGAGGGTGGGAGAGGGAGGGAGGGTGGGGGGGAGTGGGAGGCTGAGGAAGGGGGGGGAGGAAAGAGGGAGGGTGGAGGTGAGGGATTTAAATAATTTATGCAAAAAGGAAGATATTGTTTGAATATCTTTTTTAATAGAAATGTGAATGTGATTTGAATTGACAAACTAATAAATATTTATAAAAAAAAAAGAAAAAGATGATAGGATAGAATAAAATAAACTTTCTTCCGAAATTCGAATTTGAACAGAATAAATTTGAATGTGAATTCGAATGCCAATTCGAAATTTCCGAATGCTGTCAAATTAAATTCAAATCGAATTTGAAAACGAAATGAGACAAACTCCAAAAATGAATTAGACAAATTAAATGAATTTAACAAAACAAAATTATTTAAATAACTAATCGACACAAAACAAATGTTTTCATTCTGCATATGTCTAAAAGAAAACATAATTTTAAAATGTAACCAAAGATTTCCCTTCACTTATTCTTCCATAGCCAAAACAGGAAGTGAGAGGAAATCCTGGATATCACCAAAACTAGTGCCCCCATTTAAAGATTTACCTTTGTACAGGATACTGGGAATGTGTTCTGGACAGCAGATATATTTCACCAGTATTTGATTTGTAGTCCCTTTAAGGGGGGTAGTTTTGAAGACACTGTTGAGTACTCAGGTTTTTTGGGGTAGTGTGCTTAGAGAGGACTGACTTTCAATACTCTCTTGATTTATTAATCCATTTTAGGATCTCGGACTTTCAGAGGTTCAAAGAGTTTTGAGAGGGAAGAGCCTCCAAACCTTGAGTACAAGGTCTCTCAGTGTGGAATGTTTCACAAGCTGTGAGCAAGTGCGAACCTTCTTTCAACTAAGATGCTGCAGCCTTTGCAGCACCCTGAAAACAAGTGGGAACCCTAAACATTGTATGCGACCAAGAGTCTGGCGGTGAGCCTGTTGTATGTTTTTTTTAAAACCCGGATAATGAACTGTTTGCTTTACTTTTTTCTGAAGAAAGCTATTTGTGTTTGCCGTTTTGAGAGACCAATAAAGACGGTTTACTTTTTCAAGCAGCTTGCTGGTGATCTTGAGCCCTCCATGTGACACCTTTTATTAGGACTTGTTCACACTTGACTAAATTTCTAACTCTTCAAAAATGCCCCTATAGCCTTAGTATGGGTGTTAGGTGTTAGACAGGCGTTAATGAGCTTTATATGAAACAACATGCAGAGCTGAAATGGACAATAATCAACATAAATTATTACTCATAAAATATATAGAACCCCTATTTAAGTACGGATATATATAGCGTCTCTAAGCCAGAGGAGAAATTAGTTATTCAACACTCTAGAAATGGTGTAAATTTGTGGCATAAGAGTGACAGTTTTTGAAAAGGTCAAGGGTGGCAATGGTGACATTGGTGGTAGATATAGGTGTAGATTGCACGAACCAGATAGCGCTTTTTTATGCGCATATGGGTGATGAAAAATTGGTCATCTAAAGTTGAACATCTGGGATTCGGATCCTCTGATGGGCAGCAGCAGGAATTACAGCATATTGGCCACGCTTCCAAATACTCGAAATACAATCGAAATCCACCAGAGGGAGCCAGCACTCAAGATGTCATCATGCTGGCTCCCTCTGGTGGATTTCGATCGTATTTCGAGTATTTGGAAGCGTGGCCAATATGCTGTAATCCCTGCTGCTGCCCATCAGAGGATCCGAAACCCAGATGTTCAACTTTAGATGACCAATTTTTCATCACCCATATGCGCATAAAAAAGCGCTATCTGGTTCGTGCAATCTACACCTATATCTACCACCAATGTCACCATTGCAACCCTTGACCTTTTGAAAGACTGTCACTCTTATGCCACATATTTACACCATTTCTGGAGTGTTGAATAACTAATTTCTCCTCTGGCTTAGAAACGCTATATATATCCGTACTTAAATACGGGTTCTATATATTTTATGATGAATATTTTATGATGATTATTGTCCATTTCAGCACTGCATGTTGTTTCATATATTGTATTTAGAAGGTTTTGAGGTTATTTCCTTTCATGCTAGCTGCTCCATCTACATAGATCTAGCACTCGTTTTCCATATATATTTGTTAATGAGCTTTAGTATGGGCGTTTTACAAGCGTTAAACTCTAATGGTATTAATGCGTTGCAACAGCACTGCAAACTCCCTGCAAACGCATGCCAGGGCGTTTGAGGAGCGTCACCGTAGACTTGAATGGGAAGCATTGAAAGGCTTCAAATTCCTCCTGACATGAGGCTTCAATTTTGAAGCGACGTGATACTAATGCTTCATGTTTTGATAATGCGAACAGCGCTGTGTGCTTCCCATAGTATAATTTCCATAGGCTTTTGAGGAGTGTTAAAAACACCCCTCAAACACCTGCTTTCAAAACCAGTGTGAACTAGGCCTTAGCGTTCTGAAGTCAACCCAAAATTTGTTTTTTTTTTTTGCTTTCACTTTCGATGAAAATGGTAAACAGGATAAATAGAGAGGGTGAATCACCAGAACAGTGACACAGAGAGCGATAAAAAACTGGCAGGTGTTCTAACCCCTTCCCACTTTATCTACTCTATATGGAGTACAAACTAAATCTCCTACATGGATATAATCTTCCTAGAGAACATCTCGTTCCCTATCAGGGGCGGACTGAAAACTCATGGGGCCCCCGGGCAATAGGGGATCATGGGGCCCCTGTGTCCTTGGCCAAACTCAAAAAAGCCTATGAAAAAGGTACCAGGGGCATCTCATGGGGCCCCCTACTGACCCCGGGTCCTTGGGCAGTGCCCGAATTTCCAAATGGTCAGTCCGCGCCTGTTCCCTATTGTTACAGACGGTCATTATTAGCAATTTATACATGAAAGTCAAAGTGGTGTTGGCATGTATTAGATTGTGTATGTGGAATTTTGCGACACTTCTAATCCTTTATAAATGTCTGAAGAAAAGTGCAATATATACAGTATGATCAGCTGGCCAAATTGATTTTATCACACAATAGCATCAGAAACACAAATGTTAAATATATAAAACAGTTCTGTAGAAGTAAAATGAAAATAAAAAAGTTCTAAAAATGTCTAGAAAAATGTGACAAGCTTATGTAAACATGTCTGTCATATCTCACCACATGTGCTGGAACCAAGTTAGAAGAGGGAGGAAGTGACATGACTTAGGCTGAAAGTGAGAGCGCCTGTTTAAGCTTGTCAGTATGTAAAAGAGTGTACAAATATATGTCTTTATGCTTTCATGTGTGTTTCCATGTGAGGGTGTGTCTGTGAATGTATGCATGAATGTTCTGACTCTCTCAAAACATTTTTTTAATTTTACATGTAGACATCATAATTCCAGTAGCAGAGGTCTTGTATGACAAACCTCAATATTGTTGACTACAGCTATTTTCCAGATGTTAGTGGAGAACTGGGCTCACAGTGTTTCTTAAAGTCCATATATGTATTTTGATTGACAAGCCCACATGTAACACCCTATTTTTGTTCTGAAACATGACTTTTACTGGTCACATTGCCGCAGATTTCACTGTAAGTTTTAACATCTTGTATAAAAATAGAACATATATACTGTATACATACCCATGTTTGACAGTTGGTAGGGCACACAGAGGAACCATCCTTTCACCTATTCTATGGCATACAAAAACACTGTGTGTTAAACTGAAGATCTCAAATTTCGGTTCACCGGTCCATAAGACCTTATTCTGGTCTTCAGTAGTCCACTGGCAGTGTTTCATGGCCCAGGCAAGACTCTTTTTTTGCCATCTTAGCAATAGCTTTCTTACAGGCAATTGGCCTGTCAAACCTGCAACTCAGTCTTCTATCCAATGTAGAGACTGAGACTAGCTTACTTTCAGTTTTTTGCTTGAAGCTCTTGTCCTGTGAGCTGCCTGTCAAAGCTTTTGAAACTTGTCTTTATTCTGCTGTAGTTTTGGGTATGAAACCTCCTGTCAGGAACAGTGCCTTTTGATGGTGTAGGAAACTAGTACTCATTGATACCTTGGCTTTCGCATTCATTTAAAGGTGACCTACACTTTTAAGGTTTATAAGTCTGCCTGTCTTCCTTTGTTAATTGCCTTTTCTCTCCATTTTAAGGCAGATCAGTTCCTGCAGTACAATACTCTCCAAATACTGTGTACGATGTCTGTTTTGTAGAACATCAGAGGACGGAGTTCCACAGTAAGGCAGCTAAAAGTGATAGACTGGGTAACCATAGCATATATACACACAGTAGCAGTGTACATAAATTACACCCCAACAGATTTGTCAGAAAACCTTTGCTTTCCTTTCAGAATCAACATTTTCTATGGGACTACAGTTGTGTCCAAAATTATTCAACCCCCAATGCTGTAAAGGGGTTTAGGGACTATAGTGTACATTTAAGTATTCAGAATCAAATCCTACAAGGACGTTGTAACGTAAAAGCAACTAAAATGACATCTACAGTAGTAAATGGCTTATGTGGTTTCTTCATTGCCACAATTATTCAATTAAAGTCTCTCAGAGGTTATACAGGTGCTTTCCATGTAGAAAAGACTGGATGACTAGCTTAGCTAATCCAATTAGGCAGTTTAAAATGACTGTGATACTCAGCTTTGACATTTACTGGTTGGTTACAAACTGTGAGCTGAATGTCCATGCAAACTTTTAACTCAGGAAAAACTTGTTTCTGATTCTGCTGTAGTTTTGGGTCTGCTAGACCACCTCTGGTGTCAGGATTTCCTTCAGTTTTCAAGTCCCCGTTTTGATGAGGTGTAGGAAACTGTACTCATTGATACCTTGGCTTTCTTTTTAATTCATTTAAAGGAAAGACCTACACTTTTAAGGGTTATAATGGTCTGCCTGTCTTCCTTTGTTAAATTGCCTTTTCTCTCCATTTTAAGAGCAGTATACTAGTTCCTGCAGTAAAATACTCTCCAAATACTGTGTACGATGTCTGTTTCAACACTGCTTTACCTTTACAGGCAGAGAGCTTGTAAGTAATCAACAAAAGTGGGGACAGCTAAATAAGAATTGTTAGCAGTTGCAAACTTTTAGACTGGGGTTGACACTAATGGGCGGTGTATATGTATATGCTTATATAGCTGTTATACTATATATATATATATAATATAAGATTATATCACTTATATATAAAATGATAATGCTGTGAGCACATATACACACAGTGCTCAACATAAATGAGTACACCCCAACAGATTTGTCAGAAAACCTTTGCTTTCCTTTCAGAATGGCCAACACTTTTCTATGGGATACTGTACACTACAAAATACTACCACAAATGCGGGCCATTGATTGCACACAAGATTTGTTAATTAACAAACATAAAAACGTATGTTTCCTAACAAATTAATTCAAGACCATGTTGCAAAAATGAATACACCCCAATGAAGTCTCAGGAGATGAAGCTAAATTTTACAAAATCCTAATTGACAAGAATTCAATGACAGGTGAGTCGCATTATTCATTAAACAAGTGTCCAGCATACATTTGATTATAAAAGGGCATTACTTAACAAAGAAAACCCTTTCCCATTTCATGTTGTCAGCAATGGCACCACATTGAAGAGAAATGACACAAGGCCTGAGAAAGAAAATCAATTCTTTACACATGAAAGGTGAAAGCTACAAGAAGATCAGCAAAGCTTTACTAATCTGTTAAAATACTGTAGCAAAAGTGATACAAAAATGTAACAAAGATGGAACTGCAACAATCTCACAGAGACGTCCAGGCTTTTCACGGAAGTTAACACCTCAACAGGAGCATCTTCTGATGAGAAGGGTTGAAGAAAATCACATGCAGGTTCACTGCAGTTAGCTAAAGAAGTAGAAAGCCGAACTGGGGTGATTGTTTCCTGTGACACAATATGGCGTACACTGCAGAGGAATGGCATGCATGGGTGTCGTCAATGAATGAAGCCTCTCCTAAAGCCTATGCACAAAAATGCCCACCTAGAATTTGCCAGGGCTAATGCTGAAAAAGGGACCCTGTACTCTGGTGTGATGAGACCAAGATAAATGTTTTTGGAACTGATGGTTTCAAAACTGTATGGCATCAGAAAGGTGAGGCGTACAAAGAAAAATGCATAGTGCCTACAGTGAAACATGGTGGTGGCAGTGTCCATCTGTGGGGTTGCATGAGTGCTGCTGGTATCGGGGAGCTGCATTTCATTGATGGTATCATGAATTCAGAAGATGCTATTATCACTCTGTTCCCTTTGTGTTTGTGCACTTTTCCAACATGACAATGATCCAAAACACACAGCTATGGCCACTGCTGCTTTTCTGAAGAAGAACAAGGTGAAAGTAACTCAGAAGAACAGGAAGAAAGTCTGCTGATCTGAATCCAATCGAACACCTATGGGGAATTCTGAGGAGACAAGTTGAGCATCGCTACCCATCCAAAATCCATGCTTTAAAAGAGGGTGTTCTTGAAGAATGGAAAAAGATGTTGCAATATGTTGCCAACTTGTTCATTCCATGCCTAGAAGACTTGGTGCTGTCATTACAAATCATGGAGGTCATACAAAATACTAAATGTAGTAGTTTTTGTTGTTCTGGGGTGTACTCATTTTGAGTACTAATTTGAGTAAATCTGAAGATTTTGTAATATAAGTTACTGTATATTATTAACATTACTTTCATGTAATGAGCTAAATAAATGTTCTATAAAGCTCAGCAGTTTTGTCAAAGTTTTGGAAATTGTTCTTGTGTTCATTAACCACTTCCTGACCGTCCGCTGCATATAAACGGCCGGACGGTGGCAGTGCAGGGTCGGGTAGACATTTATAAACGGCCTCCCCGCACCCTGCTTGTGCGCGCTCCCTGGGAGCACGCAGCACCGCGGTCCGGTGCCCGCTGTGTCCTCCGGACACAGTGAAACACCGATCGTCAGACGGGACCTCTGTACGAGGTCCCAATTATGTGATCACTGATTGGCCAATCAGTGATCACATGCAAAGTAGTAAGCAAGATGTCACTTGTGACATGATTGCTTACTACGTGTGAAATCTGTGAATGATCACAGAGGTCACATGGTACAAGGCTATTCACAACAGCCTTGTACCATGTGACAAGCTGTGACCAATCACAGCTCACTCAGTACTTCTCAATGAGTGCAGAATGCAGACAGAGAGAAAGAGAAATGACTTCTTTTACATCCTATATGGGTGTAAAAGCAATCACTGTAAAAAAAAAAAAAAAAAAATCTTCATCACCCCCCACAAGTAGTACAGTGTCACCATGGTGACACTGTACTGCTAGGGTGACAGTATGTAAAAAAAAAAATAAAAATAAAAAAAATAATAATATAAAAAAATAAAATAAAAATGTAAAAAAAAATGTTTAAAAATTATAATTTTTGGTTATAAACAAATTTTTTGTTTTTTTTTTACTAAAAAATTAATTTAAATTTTGGCTAAAAATTTTATGAAAAATTATTTATTTGCAAAATTTTATAAAAAAACACTTTTCTTCAAAATTTTTGGACATTTCATTTACATAACAAACAAAATACAAATCCCAGTGGTGAATAAATACCACCAAATAAAGCTTTATCTGTCTCAAAAAAATGGTAAAAAATTCATTTGGGTACAGTGTTGCATGACCGCGCAATTGTCATTCAAAGTGTGATAGCACTAAAAGCTGAAAATTGCCCTGGTCAGGAAGGGGGTAAAAGTGTCCGGTCTGGAAGTGGTTAAGATAGTGATTAAAATCCTACTTTTCAAAATGGGTGTACTCATATATGCTGAGCACTGTGTGTGTGTGTAATTTATTAAAGAAATACACATAGACATAATTTATTATGACTGAGAATACTGTATGCTACTACACCCTAATTCTTACTAGCTAACTTTATTTAAACTGAGTGTATATATCATTACTTTGTAAACTTATTCTTGTCTACTGTCTGTTTATTCTTGTCTATTCC